CCCCCTCTCTGCCCCTCCCCCCAGGTGTACGTGCTGTCCCCCCAGGAGGGCGGGCGCCACAAACCCTTCGTGGCTCACTACGCACCTGTGATGTTCTCACACACCTGGGACATCGCCTGCAGGGTCCTGCTGCCCCCCGGCAAGGTGTGGGGCTGGGGGGGATCTGTGGGGCTGGGAGGGATCTGTGGGGCTGGGAGGGATCTGTGGGGTTGATCCCAGTGGATCTATGGGATCTGTGTGATCTATAGGGCCGATCCCAGGGGATCTATGGGATCTGTGTGACCTATAGGGCTGATCCCAGGGGATCTATGGGGCTGGGGGGATTTGGGGGAACTGTGCAGGTTATCCCAAGGGATCTGTGGGATCTATGGGGCCGATCCCAGGGACTCTCTGGGATCTGTGGGGCTGACCCCAGGCTCTTTCTGCCGCCCCCAGGATCTGGTGATGCCGGGGGAGGACACGGGATCAGTGGGATCTATGGGATCTATGGGGCTGACCCCAGGGGATCTATGGGTTCTATGGGATCTATGGGGCCGATCCCAGGGGCTCAGTGGGATCTATGGATCTGAACCCAGGGTATATATGGGATCTATGGGATCTATGGGGCTGACCCCAGGGAATCTCTGGGTTCTCTAGCATCTATGGGGCCGATCCCAGGGGCTCAGTGGGATCTATGGGTCTGACACCAGGGGATCTATGGGTCTGAACCCAGGGTATATATGGGTTCTCTGGGATCTATGGGTCTGACCCCAGGGGATCTATGGGTCTGACCCCAGGGGATCTATGGGTCTGACCTCACACAGGATCTGGTGATGCCGGGTGAGGACGCGGGATCAGTGGGATCTATGGGATCTATAGGGCCGATCCCAGGGTTTCTATGGGATCTATGGGTCTGACCCCAGGGGATCTATGGGTCTGACCCCAGGGGATCTATGGGTCTGATCCCAGGGTTTCTATGGGATCTATGGGTCTGACCCCAGGGGATCTCTGGGTCTGACCCCACACTTTTCCCGCCCCACACACAGGATCTGGTGATGCCGGGCGAGGACGCGGCTCTGGCGCTGCTGCTGCGGCAGCCGATGGTTCTGGAGCGGGGCCAGCGCTTCACGCTCCGCGACGGCTCCCGGACCATCGGCACGGGGGTGGTGTCGGCGCTGCTGCCCCTGAGCGACGCCGAGCGGGAGCTGAGCTGGGGCTGAGCGCGGGNTGGGGCCGATCCCAGGGACTCTCTGGGATCTGTGGGGCTGACCCCAGGCTGTTCCTGCCCCCCCCAGGAGCTGGTGATGCCGGGGGAGGACACGGGATCAGTGGGATCTATGGGATCTATGGGGCTGACCCCAGGGGATCTTTGGGTTCTCTGGGATCTATGGGGCCGATCCCAGGGGCTCAGTGGGATCTATGGGTCTGAACCCAGGGTATATATGGGTTCTATGGAATCTATGGGGCTGACCCCAGAGGATCTCTGGGTTCTATGGGATCTATGGGTCTGACCCCACACTTCCCGCCCCCCAGGATCTGGTGATGCCGGGAGAGGACACGGGATCAATGGGATCTATGGGATCAGTGGGGTCTCTGGGTTCTATGCGATCTATGGGTCTGACCCCAGGGGATCTCTGGGTTCTATGGGTCTGACCCCAGGGGTTCTCTGGGATCTATGGGTCTGACCCCAGGGGTTCTCTGGGATCTATGGGTCTGATCCCACACTTCCCACCCCACACACACAGGATCTGGTGATGCCGGGAGAGGACGCAGGATCTATGGGATCAGTGGGGTCTATGGGATCTATAGGGCCGATCCCAGAGGATCTATGGGTTCTATGGAATCTATGGGTCTGACCCCAGGGGTTCTCTGGGATCTATGGGTCTGACCCCAGGGGATCTATGGGTCTGACCCCAGGGGATCTATGGGTCTGAACCCAGGGTATATATGGGTTCTATGGGATCTATGGGGCCGATCCCAGGGGCTCAGTGGGATCTATGGGTCTGACACCAGGAGATCTATAGGATCTATAGGGCCGATCCCAGGGTTTCTATGGGATCTATGGGTCTGACCCCAGGGGTTCTATGGGTCTGACCCCAGGGTTTCTATGGGATCTATGGGTCTGACCCCAGGGGATCTATGGGTCTGACCCCACACTTTCCCGCCCCACACACAGGATCTGGTGATGCCGGGCGAGGACGCGGCTCTGGCGCTGCTGCTGCGGCAGCCGATGGTTCTGGAGCGGGGCCAGC